CTCGATCCCCCCAGGATTGGATACGGCCTGCCGCTATCGACGGGACTCATCCTCATCTCCCTCTCGACGATGGGTGAGTGAAGCGATCCGACCTGCATGCGAAGAGAAGGTCCATTCGATCTCTATTCGCAGCGTTCGCGTTCGGGAGATCCTACTGGTTCTTGCTCCTCGCTCGGGTCCTCCAAGGCGTCGGGTCTTCGTGCTCCGCTGTCGCTGGTCTGTGTCTCCGTCGCTCGATTCTCGATCGTTTCTCATTCCAAGCATTGTACCCGTCGGAGCGATGGTATTCGCCGTCCTCGGTGGAAAGCACAGACACCATCGGGCCCTTTAGAGTTAAATCGGCTGCAAAAAGATTTCAATCTTAGATAATGAAGACAAAAGACTCCTTCCTACCTCCCGCGTCCTCAAATCTTAAAACCATCCCTACCCTCCCAGAAATGACGGCATTCAACAATCGCTTTCTTCTACATGAGGATTACGAAACCTCTGCGATCGAATGACGGTGGTAGCGCTGGAACGACGTGAGTGAAGTCTAAGAACTATTATGCCATCGACGCCAGATGGCGCTCTTCAGATTCGGGATTTCACGATACGTAGAACCCATACAATGAGGTTACCGGCTCAGTTGAGAAACCCCAGACGAGTAAAAATCATACCAGGGTATGCAGATAGCCAATAACGTCACACATGTAACATAGTAAGTCGGCAAGGAATTACCTTGGTGAAATGGTCGTAATGGTATCAAGACTCCTGTCCTAAAATGCATTCACTGACTGTTCCATTCCTAGGCATGGGAATGCTGGCCTCGCGGTACCCAGAGGATCGCGAACGAGGCATCGCGATGGGGATAGCCCTGGGCGGATTGGCTTTCGGATGTATCATCGGACCCACGTTCGGGGGATTCATGTACGAGTTCGTGGGGAAGTCTTCGCCGTTCGTCGTCCTTGCGGCGTTGGCTCTCGCCGATGCCAGTACGCTCCACTTCCATTCTCCCGTTGAGATATGAAAATCAGTAGTTTGGTTCTGTCTGGTAATGATTCTTCCTGTCCTTCCAGTTCTGCAACTATTAATACTGCAGCCTAAGGTGAAGCGGCAGGAACTGGAAAGACCATCTCTAAAACAGCTTCTCAAGGATCCCTACATCTGCATCGCTGCAGGTACGTCATACCTCACGTACCACCTAAGAATGCAAAAAAAAAAATTAATTCCATTCCGATAGACTACATTCCCGACAGGTGGACTGTTATTCGGGAACATGGGATTCGCCGTCCTCGAACCGACTCTTCCTTCTTGGATGGAACGTACGATGTGCGCTGCGATTTGGCAACAAGGCGCTGTCTATCTCGCGTGTTCCATCTCGTATCTGATCGGCACCAACGTTTTCGCACGTCTTGGACATAACATTGGAAGGTGAACCTCTTGAAATCTTGCAGATTTCATCCATTTCTCTGAATGAACGATGAGGAACTTCGATAGGTGGCTCGTCACGATGCTGGGGCTCATCTTAATGGGGATCAGCTTGGTACTCGTGAGTCTGTCTCTGACGTCACGCCTAAAGCCCCCCAAAAGCGAATGAAATCCCTCGAGTTTCGCCACGCAGGTCCCAGAAGCGAAGGACGTGCGGCTGATCCTCGGGCCGCTGGCCGGACTGGGATTTTCCATCGCCATGGTGGACGCCAGTATCATGCCCGAATTGGCTCGCTTGGTGGACCTAAGACATTCCCCGATCTATGGGACTGTCTATGCCGTCGGAGACGTCGCCTTTTGTCTCGGATTCGCCGTTGGTGAGAGCGATGAAGTCGCGGAACTTCATGGAAAAGTTTTTTTTTGTGATAATAGAACTGAATTCCAATTCCTATCAGAGCAAAACAGAAAAAAAAACGCGCAAGACTCCTCCGCAAAACTAGCAGACCAGACTTGGGAGACCTCAGAATCGTTTGTGAATCAATGAGGTATTTTATTTAAGGCAAAGGAGCTGTAATTGCTCTGGACACCAGGCATAAATCCAATCGCTCCGTGCACGTTGCATCGTACTAACACTGCTGTTGTTCCACTCTAATTTGACTTGATTAAGTAATGCAAAGATCTGCGAGGATTTCCCTCTCGAGACCAAATAAGTTATACCATATTTCTCAAACACGGTATAATGTTTTCTTTTCCTTCAGGGTGACTATACAAATGCTTTACCTTGATGCATGGGGATCACGGGGAAAGAAATGCTTTTTTCCGGGGAAGGGGGGGGGGGGTACTTATTTTGAAGAATATTCATTCACGATTCTTTCTAAAAGATTTAAACCACAGAATTAACTACGGCAATTAGTACCACGTAAAAACTGCAATATACATTCCGTCGCTGCGGTCTTGTCAGATGCCAAGGCAGAGGAATGTTGGTCTCACCTTCTCGGGTAAGTATCCCGCACTCCGCCTGACATTCCCTTTCCCGGTCGCTTCGACTTCCCACAGGATCCCCCGCATGAATGCCCATACACCCTATCCATAGGAATTTCCTCCTTTGCCTTCTCGCAGGACCTGCTCTCGCCGGGGCACTGGTGCAAGGTATCGGCTTCGACTGGATGCTGTATGTCATGGCCATCGTCTGCTTCCTCTACTCCCCGCTATTCTCCTTTCTTCGGAAACCTCCCGCCCGCGGAGAGAAACGGGTGAGGCATTTTGCCCGATGCCTTTGCTTTAAGTGAAGGCACAATTGGGGAAATACCTCCAGTCTTGGCCCCTCTGCCTCTCCAAAAATACAACATTTTCCCACGAATCCTTTCTCTAGTGTTTCCTATGCCGTCGTATTTTGTTTCTGGGCTCATTTCATTTTCAATAGATTCTCTCCTTCATGGTGTCCCAGAATTCACTTCGCAACGCAAAATGTCCTCTGCGATTAACACAGGAGATGTATTTCTCGACTGTATGACGAGACGGACCTTTTCCCAAATTCTTGTTATACCTTGCACTCAAATGGTTCTTTTGATAATTATTTACAGAAAATGTATACTCGTGTTCTTGTTCGACATCAATCAACCCAGCAGTTTGAAAAAAAATTATCAAGCGATGAAGTGAATTGTGGGACGCACCGAAGCCTGCTAGATACTATAACTATACTAACATTCCAATCCGGGGTAAACAAGTAATGCCCAAGCGGATCCGTATCGAACAGCGACTCGGCCCTAACGAGAGAATGTTTCCCATTATAGAGACTCCTAGAGGACAAAGACGTGAGTTCCTCTGATGGAGGACTGGATGGGTCTTCCACGCACGAACTGGTTCCATAAGGACGGTTATCGAATAAAGGTGGAGGCCTTCATTAAGATTATCGTTGTCGCCCGATCTTGAGATATTTTTTGCGACATTAGGGTGAAATAAATTTACAAGTCATATCTCACTTCCGCTCTCCTGTTTCTCTTCTCCTTATCTGCCTATCGTTTGCCAGGAGGCGTAACCTCGATCGAACGAGTGCATGCATCGAATGTGCATGCATTTCACCACGGAAAAGGGGATAGCGGGACTCGAGTGGATGGCGAGACGGGATGCCGTATCTATGGAGGTGAGGAGCATCCGCTCCACAAGGAGGACGAGCCAAGATTTTCCCGGCATCTTCCCAATTCGTTTCTCTTGGCCGAGCTCGCCTCCTTGCTCTCCTTTGCTTGCGCCTTCTTCATCGATGCCGAAATGAGGATAAAGAGACCGCAAAACCGAGGTCATAGTGACGCCTTTCCATTGCAGTCAGCTGGTATTCGCTCATTGCGCGATTGCTACAGCCGATACCTTACCTCTCACCTCACCTAAATTCCTGCCGAAGAAGGGTGTCTCGATGAAACGGGAACTTGATTGATTGAAATTCCTTTTTTATGTGCCGTTCGCTTTGTATTTGGATTTTTCCTTGGTCGAATGTCGACAGTCTCAGTTTTATTCTTCAAATTCGACATTTTTCCGTCTATCTGCGGTAAAAAAAAAATTTCGCTTTAAAAATTTTCAGCCCCTGATCAATAAAGGGGAAAATCGATCGAAAAGAAAGACATAACAGAATCGCAAGACGACGTCATCCTTCGAATTCGACGACATTAGGGTGAAGTAAACTTGCAAAACAGGTCTCACTCCCGCTCTCCCACTCTCCGCTCAGCAGAAATTGTTCACTTTTTCATCAATTGAAGCCCTCACGAGCCTTCCCTTCCCAGTTCATGGGAAGGGCACATGAAGATACGAGATGGAACATGCGAAACAGAATGCTTTGTTGCCAAATCTCGGCGAAAAATCCCATATTCCAGTTCTTTCTTTCCAGTTTCCTGAATGAAAATTTCCTGACATCGGCCATGTCTCTAACATTCGGCCTTCCCCCTCCTTGGATTTAGTGGCATATTCTCCAGTCTTCACGTTGTCACTTTCGATTCCATCTGGATGGGCAAGGACAGGCCGTAATAAAGAGACAAAAAAAGTGTACACATGGGGATTGAGTCCGGAGTCAGGAAAACGGGTGCCGGCTGGGAAAGGGAATCGAAAAGACGCTGAGGCATCTGGTCGATTGTGATTCAAGAGATTCCTACACATTTTTACCCACCGTCTTGAGACGGGAGAAAATATATACGAGCCCAGAACAGGCCCGCACGGCCGCTTCACCAAGTCGACACGAGCCCAGCCAACGGGTCGGACTGCCTGCTGGTCGCCCGACCAGCTCTACTGATGGCTGACGTTAAAGAACCTGCTGCCATGCAAGGGTTCCTTCAGAAATTGTTTCTAGCAAGCTCTCACCGCTTCAAAGATGCAGTAAAATTCCGAGCGTTTGGGGAGTAAAAAGTGAGCACAACGTTAGTTTTTCGAATTTACTCTATTACTCACCAAATGCTCACTCATCGCTCGTATTGAAGTGAACACCTTGAAGTTCTTCGCCAGGCCCCTAGATGGCGGTAATGGTCTCGCTTTTCGTAACAGTACACAAAAGTTCCCTTCTCTCTTTCCATGGAATCGTCCCTTGCAGGATTTTTTAGTACCTTGCCATATGTCTCGC